AGCTGTGCCCAAACTAAATTATTTACTTTTCACTTGAGGTCAGTTGGGGTTAAGTACTCAGTAAAACGAGGATAGAATATGAGCTCACTAAGGGCAGATGTGGTTGCTTTCTGTGTTCAGAGTTGTTATGAAGAGAGTTCAGGGCCTTATGAATTCTTGACAGCTATTATTTTATGATAATAATGATCAAGTGTTTGCTACCTGTAATTGTTTGGGTAACCTAGGGAGGAGCTCTGACACTCAGGCTCTTATCCTAAGAGGAATCAGTGATACATTTGTCCTCTAGATGGAGACTTTGATTTCTGGCTCTTGGTTTTTGTTTCTTTCATATACTGTCCTTAGTCATATCCAGTTTCATGTTACTTACCACATCTTCGCAATCTTTGACACCCCGACCCTTGATGTTAAACTGCAGATTGATCAATAAACTCATTTACCAAGCAACTTGTGAGTTGGAGTTTTGGGTTCAAGGTGTGTTTTCAGAGCAACTGTCATAGGTTCATAGGTGATGTCCCTCTTGTCCAAGAAGGTGCAGAGGTCATATACCTCTGAAATTGTCTCTGTTAGGGGCAGCTTGCAGGTTCCCAGCCAGTTCCCATCCGAAAGAGAAACTTTGTCATGGAGGACTTGAGCCTTTTCCCCCTGCCCCAAACTCTTCACCCTCAACCTTGAGGACGTTTATCCTTTAAACCAATAATACTAAGAACATAGCACTAGTTTCAACCTATCATCTCCAACACAGGCTTCCTTCATTAAAATTTAAGAAATTCTGGTCACATTTTTATAAGAATACCCTAGGAATGTCAGGCTCTCCTAAGGATCAGGTTAACAAGTGCTCATTCCAGAAGCCGTCCAAGTTGACCTAGTGATTCCCTAATAGTTCACATAAGTGGTTCTTCTTTGGGATGATGCACGGTGAATACAAATATATAAGTTGGGTAACTAATGTTCTTATGTATCATGCAGGACTCAAGCATGGGAGCTATGAGTGAGTGAAGTAACTACCTTCCAATTCCTGGCTCTCTGTGCTGCTATCCTGGATCTTGTCCCTACAAGAGTTTAGGGAGCTGGTTTATTCCTAGAAAGCTTGAAGTCAGGAAAATCGGAGTATAAGTTCTGTCTCCAACACTTAGTAGCTGTGTAGCCCTGGGTAAGTCACTTAACCTCTCTGGGCCTCAGTTTCCTCATCTGTATAATGGAGAGAATAATAGTTGTATCCTGCCAAAGGATTGTTGTAAAGTTCAAATTAGATAATCTATGTAAAGTACTTTTCAACACTTTAAAAGCATTATATAAATGTCAACTATTTTATGGGTCAATAGTTACTGAATTTTCTTGATTACTTTTCTGGGGGGTAATGAGCCATTGTTTTTTCCCAAGCATCTGTTAGCATCACACTTTTCAGATGTCTTTAAGATCCCTTAATGCCTTCAAAAATTTTTTGCCTCCGCCATGGGACTCATATACTTGGCCTAGTCTAGTTATTTTCCCCATATTTATTTTCTTTAGTGGTGTTTCTATTTCCTCATGCAGCATAACAGAGGTTATGTTAAGGGTTCAAATAGGACAAGTAGTTCCACTGTTCATTAATGGAGAATATAATTTGTTATAGAGATCATGACAGATCGTTTTCATTTGTCATGTTTTCCTCCTTCCAATTTTATCTTTCAGTGCTCTTGGGGGTGATCTGGCTTAACTAGGCCTCTTGCTAAGCTTTCTGTAAACCTGTTTTTTCCTCTACCGGTTCTCTTTTATGAGATGATACAGCTTATAATTTTTACCATATTCTTCCATAATATTTTGCAAATGAGTTTATATTCTAAACTATAGTTTTCTTTAGCTGCCAATGGTCTCTATTTGCCAAGAAAATCAAGTGTGTGCTACCTGAAACAATTTCTAGGTTTTAAAAAATCTCATCATTGTGGTAATTGATTTACATTGGTTAAACTTCCCAAGGAAATGGTAATAGCCTGAGTTATATTTGTTCTTTTAGCCATTTTTTTCAGTGTCAAAAGCTTTAAAACTATATCCAGTTGGAGTTTCCCCAATTTCATTCCTCATTTTTATTGTTTTAACTACTGTGATATTATCTTTGCTCTAACAAGTTGATGTTGTGATTATACAGTTAGTTTGAAAATGGCTCCTATACTGGTAACCAGTTGTTTCCTGTCTGATAGATTGTAATCATTTTCCTTTTTTATGATGTTATCCATTCAATGCTTGCTATGTCTAGTGCTTCCTAACTCATATATGCACACATATGTATATTATATATGCATACATACATCTGTACAAAAAAAGTCTACAAGTCTTTGGCTTGTCTCATTTTTTTTTAAAGTGTGAATCATGTTTTCTAGCATGTTTTTTTTTTTACCTTCCTCTCTGGTTGGTGGTTACATTTGCATCAAAGATGTAAAATATTAAAGTATACATTGATTTAATTTGGAAGATGATGTTGAGTTCTTCACGAAATTTCTCTACTTTCTCATACTGTGAAACAGATGTTGGTGCATGTTGCAATGATCTTTTTTAAGTACTTACCATGAGCACTGCAATAAAAGATGACCAAGGATCGCATGAACTGATATTTCTTCTTGCATTTGGAAACGTGACAAAATCCCTTTCTTTATTTGCCTATCCAAGAAGCTTCCATGTCACTGGACCTTCTTTTTTCTTTTCTGGCCTCATTTATAGTAAGAATGTCAAGGTCAACATGACCCATTTCCTCTAGGTCCATTTTTCCACTTGTTGGCCATTAGACAAAGATGTTACATAGAGGGTATTAAAAGGTAAGTTGTTGGGTATAGACAGTCCAAAAGCATCCCTTTCTCCACTGCTTTGCCATCATCACTATAGAAGTGAAAGAGGGTAGTTGGGCAGGCTAGAACTGGAGGCTATTAACTTTTTTTCTTTGTTTCTAATATTTCTGTGATCAAAGAATTCATTAGCAACCAGCAAGGGTCCTAGTGATGAGCGTCCCCTATTTAGCTAGGGTCTTAGCTAGTGCACATAGTCTATTACTTAGAGCATACTCAAAGCATCTCCACTGACACAGCCTGTGAGAGCCTGGGGACACCTGCATCTATGATTAACACTGGAGTTGGACTTTGTTGAGGTTTGTAATCCAGAGTTAATGCTCTAACTAAGGTAATAGAAAATATTTATGGGATTGCTACTTATTCGGACTATTCCTGAATATTTATTGAAATATTCATGACAATTTATTGAAATATTCATGAAATATTTATTGACAGCAACAATCTGTTACATAATGTATGCTGGAAATGATACAAATGTTAAATAATATTCAACACTCGCTGTTGTGGAGCTCGTGATACGGCAGGAGGAGACAAGGCATACACAAATAACTGTAAAAGGGATCATATCTGTGCTCTGGCTGATAAGTACTGGACTCCACGTTTTTTAACCAGTCCTTGTAAAGCTTCCAAAAGTGGGCATGTTCATCCAGCATTGACTGATACAGAAAGGACCAGAAGGCCGGAGAAGACAGGATGTGTGGCTTAGGCACAACCTTGGAGAGGAGAGAGAAAAGGAAGACCTGACCACAGAGGCTTTTCTGTCACAAGGCTGTGATGCCAAAGCTATGCCTCTGGGCCAGGGGAGGATTATGAGTTGAGCAGTGAGGGGGTGCCAGAAGAAGAATCAGTATCCAGATTCAGATAGCCAGTGGCTGCCCTTGAAGACGAGACAGAGGCTGGTTAAGGAACCTCGGTTCTTAAGCTCCCCAAATGGACTTTGATATTTTGAGAAGTTCTCAGTGGAAAATCAGTGGAAGACGCTAGTACATACTGGTCTTAAGCACCAGGAATTCCTGGATTGGGAGCATACCTATAAACTGTGGGCTGATTAGGTCTCAGAAAAAACAACATAGAAATACTGTGGCACTTCTTTAGTATACTATAGTGGCAGTATTTAGTACACACTGTTTTATTCCTTTTGGTTCTATGGTAATGAGTAAACACTAAATATATTTTAATCAAGTAAACATATATGTATACATATATAATACCACACCATCATGGCTTGACTACATACATATATATATATATAATACATGTATATGCATATATGCATACACGTATTCTGTAGTCAAGCTGTGATCCAGAAGTAAGCTCTGCTGGGTCACGTCCACACGCTCAGAATCTCTGAAACACAGCGCGAAGGGAGAAGAACTTTAATTTCCAATAAGCTAAATGTCAGTAGTTTTAAATCACAGAAACAGAATTTCTTCGGGACCCTCAACAATTTTAAACAATGGTAAAGGTGTTCTGAGACCAAAGAGTTTGAAGAGGCCCTCATACCGACACCAAAGGCAGGAATGGGGATGACGTCACCTGCTCTGACAGCGCAGCGCGAGCTCCTTCTGGACTGGGGGGAGCGCCGGCTACGGGCCCGGTGACCTGGGCCGTAGCGCCCTCTGGTGGTCAATAGCTGCAATACATAATGACGCGCAGCAGGTGCATTGGTGCGGATGAAGTGCCTTTCGAGGTCTGCGATTGGAGTGCACGGGACCGCCGGAGAGGAGGGAAGGCTCGAGGAAGGTTTTACACACGCGCGCGAACCCCACCCCCCCGAGCACGCCTAGGCACACACACTCACGGTACACCTCTCGGCTCGGCTTTGCCCCCTTCCCCCCCCCCCACCCCGCAGGGATTCCCCTCACACTCGCACCCGCTCCTGCCACGCCCCCTAGGCAAGGGAAGCCCGCACTGCAGGCACTGGAGGGGGCGGAGGGAGCGAGGCGAGGGAGGGCGGGGCCAGAGGAGGGGGCGGGGCCGAGGAAGAGGCGCCGCGTGCCCGCCCAACCTCCCGCCCGCCCCGACGCTCACCTCTGGTTACCCCTATCCTGCCTTCTAGCGGCGTCCCTTCCTGGGTCACGGGAGCCCCGCCCCGCCCCACGCCGCCCCCTCCAGGACGGGCGGAGCTTCGCAGCCGGCCCCGGGCCCGCTCCAAGCGCAGAGAGCGGCGGGCGGGCCGGGCCGGGGCGGGGCTGCTTTTCCTGCCCCCACCCCCCAAGCCCAGCGGTCGGGCCGGCCCCTCCGTCTAGGTACGGCCCTGGCTTGGGCGTGTTCGCTTAGCCCATTTGGGGGGCAGGGGGGTTTCTGCGCTTAGCTGGGCGCAAAAGCAGCAGCGCGAGACGCGCCCAGGAGCGCGGGGACGTGGGTGCTGCCCCGGAATCCGGACTCCGAGCAGGGTGCGTCACGTGTGGGGGAAGCATGAGTGTCGGGGGCGCGTGTTTGGGGGAGGTGGAAGCGTCTGTCTGCGGTGCTTTTTCCTTTATTTTCTCCCCTTTAAACACTACAAACTCGGGCTCACTGTACGGGCATCGGAGCGATCTGGGCCGCGCCGGCCGGGGAGGGCGGGCGGGAGAGGCCGCCGCGGGCACCCCCGGGCGCCCAGCGGGGGGCCGAAGTTAGCCCCTCGGAGCGCCGTTCGAGTCTTGGGAGCCCCTGACAAGGACGATATCCTGCGGTGTCTGAGCTGTAATAAGTTGTCACAGGGCCACCTTCTTTGCAGTCACACTGTCTTTTTCTTCGTGGGTACGCAGCAGCGGGTGTATATTTGTTGAAAGAGGTTGTGTGGGACAGTGACCACCGAAAGTCTGAATCAGAGAACAGAAAAGGTCTTTATTGCTTTCTCATGAGAAAGGGCACCACCCTTAGTCGCCATTGCCGGCCAGGAGAGAACGAGTTGGGAGCCGCAGCCTTGGCTTTTATCCCCTAACGCGATGCCCCCTCCCACTCTTACCCCTTTCTCCTTTGACTGGGTACTCAGGGCATACATTCTAAACGTGGCAGCTGACACCCAGTGGAAGCAAACGTGCCTGTGTTCGGACTAGATGCATGTGTGTGCTAGGACGTAGGTGCGACCAGGCACTGAGCTCCCCTACCCATGCTGACGTGGTGCTGGAGAAATAGAAACTTACCAGGGAAAATGGAAACTTAACTCAAGGCTTTGTGGAGGAACGAAACCTGGGCCTGTGGGAACCGCACTGTAGGCCGTCTCTCACACTCATGCAGAGTGCAGGAGAGAGCCAGGAGCGGGGCGGGGAGACGCTAATGAGGGAACTTCACTAGTGAATGTCCTTATGACCATCGATAGATTATTTTTGATATATTAGCTCAATGGCACAGAATCTCAAAGGCTAGGATCCAGCAGCCAGTTTTCTATATAGCATTCATATATTTTCTAAGAACAAAGATTCTCCCAGTTTTTGTGAGTATCCAGGTTGTAAAGAATCTGGATGTTAATGCCCTGGTGCCTCTAATCTGGCATGACATAATGCAGATACTTTTATCAGTTGCATTCTCCGGGACAACTTCATTCTCCTCCTCGACAGCTGTGAAAAATAAGCAGCCCGCAGACAATCGCTTTAAAAAGATGCATCACATCATGACATCTTAATGCATGGAATGAAGTTCTATTTTTAATTCAGCCCTGTGCTCTTCTTATTCGCACACCTACCATACCACCATCTTCCACTCTATTCACCATTGCATTCTCATTATACACACCCAATTGTAGAGCCAGACTTTAACTAAAAGTTACCTACATTTTATCTGATCATTGAAACACTTTGTGTTTCACTATTATTATTACAAAAAATAAGGTAATTCGGTAAACTAGGGTTTTAATTATCCATCATTCATTTAGTAGACAAACAAGGAAATGAGTATATACATACGTATATATATATATACATACACACACACACACATATATATATATATAGGAGCTCACTTCTTAAACACACAGAAACTGGGACCCTATAGAAGATTAAGATAAGGTAAAATATGAACTTTTAAATATTTAGTAATAGTAATAACTAAAGACCACAGTTAATATAAATTTTTATCAAATGATTTAACAGTCACATGTGTGACTGTGCAAAGTAAAGTTGCTGTTCAGTTGTATTTGACTCTTTGTGACCTCATAGACTGTAGCGCTCCAATGCTGTCCATGGGTTTTTCTTGGCAGAGATACTAAAGTGATTTGCCAATTCCTTGTCTAGTGGATTAAGGCAAGCAGAGCATAAGTGACTTGTCCAGGGTCACATAGCTAGTAAGTAGGCCAATTTGAACTCGGGTCTTCCTGACTAACTTCCTCAAAGTAAAATTACCACTAGCATAACTGTAGAATTTTAGAACAAAAAGTAAAGGTCATCTAGTTTAGCTACTTCATTTTACAGATTAAGGAAACTGAGGTCATGAAAATAGAGACTAGGGCACTGGCTTCCTGTCTCTTACTCTCTTTCCACTGCCACATGATTCCTCTCTAGTTCTTGTAATCTAGGTAAAGTGGAACCAAGGCAAAATTGTGAAATAGTTGGTCTGTCTTCAACATAGTCAGATTTTCCTTTCTTTTATTTTTCCTCCTCCTGTGGCATTCCCTTGCTCCTTCAGGCATTAGAACATTTTGTGCCATCAGGTCTGGCCATCCCTCCCCTTCTCACCCATCCCCAGGTTCCCATGAAGAAAATATCAAGATGAATAGTCAAACAAACTTGCATGACCTGAGGTAGAAGGGACCAAGAGGCCAGGTAGCCCAATTCGGCCTCTAAAATAACACGAGAAAGCAGATTGATAAACTGTATGAATGTCAGATATAAATTAGGTAGCATTTGTGCCTGATTACAAACATCAGTGTTAATGGGTTTCATGTTGAAGAAGGCATTAAAATATTTGGTGCCCAGGAAAAGAAAGTAATTAGGCATTTATTACATCTCTTTTATCTAGGTGGGTAAGCTATGTGTAAGAGGTAAGATTTAAGGGCTTGAAGCTGCCAAAAAGGTTAACAAATCACGTTCACATCTGTTGCTTTGGTTACTATCAGTATTGGATACTGTCAGTCAACTTGACGTGCCTATTAACCCTCTCATTGTACTAGAGAAACATGTCCGTTTGTTCCTATATAGGAGCTGGGCCATCCTAGTCATTTTTCTGCACAGCAAATCAGCTGTATTGTGCAGTTAATTCTGGGTTTTGACAGCTGAAAGCACTAGAGATCCCATTTGCACATTCAAATTTTAATTATTTCTGCAATCTGACCTTCACAACCTACTTTTCTCCACCACTTGCCTTTCATATAACTGTTGTGTATTGTAATTTTCATATATAAAAGTGTGTGTGGGAGTATGATTTGGTTCTGACCCCTAACTCCAGCTAATTAGTTGATATAATCACAGAAAGCAAGGGACAGATAACAGAAGTAACAAAGTATTAATGTGCTAATGAAGTGAAAAGGCCAGTCCTATTCCATGTTATCTCTTCTACATAGGGGAAAGGAGTTCTCAGATTGAATTGGAAGCCAGCTGTTCATTTGCTGGAAAAAAGTTTGCCCACAATCCTGGAGGCTTTTAAAATGCTAATCTTCTTGGGAAACATAGGTGATGTAAAAAAAAAAAAGATGTCAATGATATGTTTTTTTTTTTTTTAAAAGCTAAACCTGCCAAGCTCTGCAGACAGCAAAGTAGTTAGAGCATTGTAGGGAATTAGCTTCGTAGAGGTGATCCCTATATGTGTACTAGATGGCAGCAGGTGTGAGAGGAAATTTTCTCTCCTTCCCATCATCAGCTGTGACATCTAGCAGATGTATTGCCCTACCGGTAGGGCAGACCACTTCCAATACGAAGCAGTTTGGAAAGTTAAGTAGGGGTCAGGTAAGGTAGGGATCAGAGACACATTCTCCAGAAGAATATATATATGGAGAGTGTTACAAAAGGTCAAATTTTGAAAAGTAATACCTTCAGTGGGGTGTTGGGGGCATTATTTTATTGAAGATAAATTCTTGGTCATTAAACGCTCTTAAATCCCTAGAAAACATTGCCTCATAAAAATATATTACAAGGAAAGAAATCTTTAATACAGACTCTTTTAATTATAATTCATTCATTATACTGTGCTTTCTATTAGAAATGAAAGCCTTCATTTGGATTTTAAAACCCATCCAAGGTCATTGGAAATTTTAGCCTCACTAACAAAGCTATCTTTGGCAATGCACTGAATTGTTACAACCCAAAGAGCTGGGTCTAGTCAAAAAGGGTTCAGATTCATTTCCTTTGAGAAAGGCTGACAATATTGCAGGGAGTCTGAGAAATTCAAGTAGGGAAAAATGTTGTTCTATACATGTATTGTTGGCGTTTTGTAAAAGCAAAAGAGCATTTGGGCCCAAGTTCAACTGGAGATTTTATGAGTTTAACACAGTTCTTAGGGGAAGACAGGAGTGGTAATCCTAATGAGAACCATTTGTAACATTGGAGGACGGCAATCAAATGAGCCAGTTTTCAAAATAGTTATAATTGTCTCTGAAAGATTTCTAAATCTTTCCCTATACCATGAACTTTATTTCACACACTATGACCTAACTCAAAATTTTGGTTGTCGTATTGATATTGTCACTTTCCCCTGTGTACAGTAGAGGACATATTGAATGAATGAATGAATGAAAAAACAGACACCAGACACGATGCAAAGTGCTAAGAAAACTAGGGAAACCTCTATGAACTGATGCAGAATGAAGTGAGTAGTACTAGGAGAAAAATTTATATGATAAAAACATTACAAAGAATAACAACTTTGAAAAACTTGATAAGTTTGATTAATACAATGAACAACTGTAATTCTAGAAGACTAATGATGAAATATGCCACCTATCCCTTGACAGAGAAATGATGAGCACAAGAACAAAATAAGATATACATTTTTTGGATATATCCAACGTGTCCAAACATGCAAACATCCAATGAGTAATTGGATGTTTGCTTGATTATGCATGTTTTTAAGAAGGGCTTTTTCCTCCCCTCTCTTTTTCCAATGGGAGTGGGTGGGAGAGGGGGTTAGGGATTGAGCAGCAAAAAAAAAGAAAAAGAATTTGAAAAGAAATGAAGGTCATTGAATTTTTTTTTGTCTTTTCTTTAATGCAGAGAATAGAAGGAAGGCCAAAAAGAAGCACAGACAAGCCAAACAGCTATTGTTATATGCTTAAAAAGGAAAAGCCAGATGTACAATTGTGTATAGAGATCTGCAGAATCATGCATGAGATATTCTATTCTGCTATGTATGTGAAAATGTCTACTTTATTTGGTAAGTTCAGAATTTTAAAAAAGGTATAGGAGGCTATATAAATTTTCACTCATTCACTCACTCACCCACCCACCCACCGACAAAGATGGTTCAGCCTCAGGGTGAAAGTTCCACCTCAGTCCCAGGTGTTTGCCCTTCCTTCCTCTGCCCATCCTTCAAGGCCTAGTTCAAGTCTTGGCTTTTTCCAACTCTTCTACATACTACTCTTAAACTCTCTTTGCTCTTATCCAGAACTCCTAAGTCATGTAGCATTGGGTTGTTCTCTGTTTGAGATCTGTAAGTGTTTATGGCAAGTTAGGAGGTCGTAGTATAGCCCACCTTCCCCTACAGCTGCTCCAACAAGGATCTAAGAAGGATAGAACAAGTAGTGATGGAGAAATAGAAGGAGAGGCTATAATGGGTCATCTTTCCACCTGCAAACAAGTGACCAGGGCAGAGGTGTGGAGCAGAGGTAGGCCAGGATCACAGACACCTCAAAACTCCAGAGCCAGGCCAGCAGTGCAAGGATGCCCAGAGATGACCTCAGAATCAGCCCAAACTAGGCCAAAGGCACAGGGTCTTCCCTAGGGGCCAGATAATTAGACTAGAAAGGGGTCACTCAGAGCATCTCGTGAACTCAGTCCCCGTCCCAGGACACCAGCAATGACGTCTCCCAGGTGTTACAGGCTCAGTTCTCAGAGTTTCCAGCCGGGCCGATAATGCCAGGTTGTCCAGAGTAGGGGACAGAGTCAACCCAAGGCCCCAGACTGGTCCTGGCCAGCCGCCTCTCTCACAGTGCCTGGTACACAGTAGGTTCTTGGTACAGGTTCTGACCTATAGTAATCTCTTGTTAAATTCTGGTTTCCTTTATCCCAAGACAGAGCAGATTATGGCTCAGTGCGAAGCAGAGAGCAGTGCTAGGCAAACAGCACCCCTGGAGTTGACTCGGCTCCCTTCGTCCAGCACAGGGCTAGGCTGGCAGCTGTGTCGTCCTGCACCTGTGAGCCTTCCAGCTGACGGAAGCTAGGACCAACTACTGGGGTGCCCTCAAGGTGGGTCTGCCACTGTGGTGACTCAACACAAACCAGAGTTGGTCTAGAACTGACTGCAAAGGGCCTGCTGAAAGTGTACAGCTCTCTGGCTCGAGCTGTCCCTGTGATCCTATAAGAATATGGCAATCAAAACTCAAAAATAGTGGCGGGATCTTAGATAAGACAGGCCAGTAACATCCAAGGCCCAATCTCTGAAGTGCACAGGGCCTCTCCCTAATGCAAAGCCCCAAAGCAAAGGCTGGAAGAATGAGTAAACAAACAAAAAAAGGATAAATTGCTATTATGATGCCAGGACATCTGAGAGGCAAATACAGAAAAGAAAGTGATGCCAAAAACATTTCCTAAAAAAGCCTCAAAGAACAGCCCAGCTTGGCCACAAGATCAATTAGAATTCCTAGAAGAAATAAATTATTAAAAACCATAAGAGTTAAAATAACTTACTTTGAAAAATGCTCTCAAGTCACTGGAGATAAAAACAGAGAAAAACAGTAGTCTTTACCTTCACAGAGCTTAAAGTCTATTAGGAAGGGGGTTCTTACCCTGAGGTTCCCAGATCCCTTATTTCAAGGGAACTTGGATGGTGGGGAAAAACCCATTCCATCTTTATTTTCACTAAACTGTAATGGTAAGTTAGCATTTGATCCTTCGAGACCCGCTAACTATTATTCTATATGTCTTCTGTCCTTGGTAGCTATACTCAAAAATGTCATCTACAGTAGATGCCTCCACTTCCTTTCCCCCTTATGCTCTTCTTAAGTCCTTACAATTTGGCATCCGACCTTCCGCAAAACTTTCTCCGTCCTCATTTTCTTTGACTTCTCTGCATCCTTTGACACTGCTGATCCTGATACTCTCTTCTCTCTAGGTTTTCAAGACACCTCTCTTTCCTGGTTCTCTTTCTACCCATCTGACCCTTCTTTCTCTGTCTCCTTTGCTGGATCCACCCCCAGATCATGCCCTCTAACTGTAGATATCCTGCAAGTTTCTGTCCAGGATTCTCTTCTCTCCTCTCTCTATACTGTTTCATTTGGTGATCATATCACCTCCCATGGATTTAATTACCCTCTCTATGCTGATGATTCTCAGATCTATCTTTTTTGCCCCAATCTCTGTGCTGACCTCCAATTTCACATCTCTAGTTGCCCCTCTGACATCTCAAACTGGATGTCTAGTAGACATTTTGAACTCAATTATGTCCAAAACAGAATTCATGATGTTTTCCCCTAAGGCTTCCCCCAACCCCTTGTACTTTCTCTACTACTGTATAGACTACCACCATCTTCCCAGCCCCTCAGGCTCACAACCTGGGAGTCATCCTGGATTCCTCACCATCTCTCACCCCTCCCCCCCCATATCCAGGCTGTTGCCAAGGCCTGTTGATTTCACCTTTGCAATATCTCTGCAATATGCCCTCTTCTCACCTCTGGCACTGCCACCACTTTAGTGTGGGCTCTTATCACCTCAGACCTTGATTATTGCAAAAGCCTGCTGGTGGGTCAGTCTGCCTCAATTCTCTCCCCACTCCAATTCATCCTCCATTCAGTCACTAAAATTATTTTCCTAAAAGGCAGGTCTGATCATGTCACCCCCTACCTGTGGCTTCCTATTGCCTCCAGGTGCAAATACTAAATGCTTTGTCTAGCATTCAAAGCCTTTCATAACTTAGCCCCCTCCTACCTTTCCAGTCTTCTTACACCTTACTCCCTTGACACGGACTCTTCCACAAACAAGACACTCAGTCTCTAAGCTCCAGGCATTCTCTCCGCTTGTCCCCCACGCCTGGAAGCCTCTCCCTCCTCTGTTTGGACTACTGACCTCCCTGGCTTCCTTTAAGTCCCAACGTAAAGCCCACCTTCTATGGGAAGCCTTCCCCAACCCCTCCTAGTTATAGTGCCTTCTTTCTGTTGATTATTTCCCATTTATCCTGTATATAGCTTACTTTGTTTATATTTGTTTCAATGTTCTCTCTGGCATTAGAGTATACGCTCCCTGAAGGAAAAGACTGTCTTTTGCCTCTTTTATATCCCCAAGGCTTGGCCCAGTGCCTGGCACATAGTAGGTGCTTAATAAATATTTGTTGATCCCTTCAGTTACTTAAAACACAGTTCGTACGAGAGGTTCATAGACTTCACCAGACTGCTAAAGGGGTCCAGGACCCCAAAAAGATTAAGAACCCCAGGTCTAAGGTTCCCCTAACTTGCAGCTCAAAACACAAACTTGTTACCTATTAACTGCTTCATTCTACTTGTCCAGTGCTTGTTACTGACTGATTTTAGCTCTTCCCCTGAAATACACCTGTTACGAAGCTAGCTTTCTAGAATTAGATCGAACACAGCCTCATTTATCTAATGATCAAATTGGCATTATTTTTACTTCCCTTTGTCTTGGGTTATGTGAGTGGTTTCAGGTTAACTGCTCTTTTGCCTGTGGAAGGGGGAGGAGGAAAGGGAAGAAGGGCAGTTAAGAGTTGGGAGGGGCGAGTCCAACTTCCCGACTAGACAAAAAAAGATACTAATTTATAACTGGAACAATAATAAGAGTTACGATCCTGTGTGTAGATGAACTTGCTGGTGAGTGAGTGTGAGTGTAAGAGTGAAATTTTCTCACCTGGTGATTCCTCCTGTCATTGCTGACTGAAAAGGCAGATGGTAATATTCAGTCTTCAAATGAAGTTTTATTTTCTAAAATGCTCATTCAACTGGTTAGTTACAGGCAAAACAAAAACAAAAACAAAACAAAACAAACAAAAAACCCCATTGTTTTTTCAGGCATTCTCCTCAGCACATTTATCTTTTGTTGAATTGATAATAGTTTTTTTTTTAAGTCAATCATAAACCTATAAACTGACACCAATATCTAAAAGAACAAAGGGAGCTAAAAATGAGATGAGAAACATCTTGCTTTTTCTTATTCCTTTTTTTGCATTTCTGGGTATTTCTTCCACCAACTTAGGAAGACTTGCACAAGATAGGCTGGCCCGGTTCTTAGAGGGCTAAGCTGTTTGGTAGGCCTTCCAAAATAGGCCACTACATGTTTTACCCTAAAATCCAGAACTTCAGCTAACCAAGAGGCCCAAGAGATAAATCCTCAATGCGTTTCCTCCTCTCCCACCATCCCCATGAATGCCTAGCCAGAGGGCCTGGGCTTAATTGAACTTAAATAAGTGACCAGCTAAATAGGGTGATTTCAGGGCTTAGAGGAATCTCAGACTCTCACCATTTCCCCACTTCATTCTGCCCAGAGATGGTCTTCCTTTCTGTTCCATCACCTAAGCATCTTCTGTATCTCCTGGGAGATGTCTGAAACTCTGTAGTTTGAGACTAATTATTTGTTTCTTTTATTTTGTCATTGGGCAGGGTAAAAGAATTGGATTTGGAATCTAATTCCAGTTCTGTCTCTAAGGATTATGACCTGGAGAAAAATCACTACACTTAATAATACCTAACATTTATATTTGACATTAAGAAAATGTTTTACACTTACTTTTCTCATTTGATCTGCACAATGATTTCATGAGATAGATTCTTTGGGTGTTTACTCCATTCTACAGCTGAGGAAATTGAGGCTCAGAAAAAATAAGTAGCATTCACTTAGTGTTGGATGAAGGGTTAGAAATCCACCATCTTTTCCTCTACACCGCATTGCATAACACTTTTCAAGACTTGTTTCTTCCTTTTAAAAAAAAAAGGAATTTCAAGATGATCTCTAAAGTTCTTTAATCTCTTAAATTCTAGGTTTATATGAAATCCCTTTATGACTAAAATCACATTGAAGACTTATCAGTCATTTACTCTTTAGTGTAAAAGAATGAGTATATCAGATACTTCAGAGGAGTCAGATTTCAGAGGTAGAGGGTAAAAAGAGCTGTAGGGTGCCAAAAAAAAAAGTAAGGCAGAAAGGTGAGGCAGCCGGAAAACACTTGGAAGACAACACTTTTGTCTCAGGCTGGCACTACTGGCAGGGACGGGACGAAAAGTCTGACATGAAGTGTTGAGGTTGGTTTCTGATTTGCAAACTTTTTAGTCATGTCTTTGAAACAAAGAACAGCTAACATTTTAAAACATTTGCTTTTCAGGCAGGAGCACTTTTAAGTTGGCAGTAATACAGCTAAGCTCTGAACAAGTAAGTCAGACTTCAAGGTTCCTTCGTGCTCCGAATCTATGATTCTGTGATCCTATGACACATACTTTTAAAAAATCTCAATTATTTTCAGCTCTACCATGGATTGTGAAGAAAAAAAAATTGTTGATTTAATGGGTAACATTTATAGTGAGTTTGATTTGATTGTGAATCCCACTGGAAAAATCAAGGAAGAAGATATCATAGGAATGTACTAGTTTGATAGTCAAACATAACCCATAATAAATTTTAGAATTGCAGCAGCTATGCTGCAAAGAATACACAATGTGCTTTTTTTCCTTCATGGAGAAGATTATTACACTATCTTGATTTAAATCCTCTCATCAAGCCCATTGTCAACTGGTCCCTTTGCTTCCAGGTAGAGATTAATCTGTACCTTATTTAGCAACACAAAGATTGAAAACAGTAAGGTGTTCCTATATTGATTTCTAATTAACATAAAGATATATATGCATAACTTTTCGTAATATCCTCTTTATGTAAACTTAACTTGTCAAGGTCATAAAGGAATTTTTTTGTTTTCCCCCTTCCACATCCCCACCTTGGGTGTGCATGGTGGTGGTGGTTGGGGGGGGCGGGGGGAGGGGGCGTCACAAGGATAGACTACGCATTTTCCACAGGGAGAAGGGGAGACGGACAGCTGCAGTAACTGAGTCCACACGAGCTGAGCTCAAAGGAACCTTCATGTCCCTGTGCGTGTATCCTTACAGCGCTCACAGAACTCCAGATTCTCCGTGGTGTAAGTAACAAGCGTGGTCCAGAACATTTCCTTATCTCTCTGCGGCCCACCTATTCTGAGATTTCTCTGACTTCTCCATTCTGCCCCAGGAAGCTCATTATTGGGAAAACCTCACCAATCAGCAGAGTCCCATGAGCCTTGGGACTCCGCCTCATCACCACCCTCTGTCCCTCTGATTGGAGCTATGAACTCCAGAACCTCCATTTAAGGAAAGAGCTAAGCTCAGAACATCTCTTCCCTCCTTCCTGACTGCATTAATTTGGGGCATCTCTGAATTTTCCACTATGCACCCCACCCCTATCCCTTTCCAGCTTCAAGTTGTGTGTTGTGTTTCTCCATTAGGTGGTAAGCTCCTTGAGGGCAGGGATTGTCATTCTCTTTTCTATTTGTATCCCCAGCCCTTAGGGCAGTATGTGGCACATAGTAGGTGCTTAATAATGTTAATTGACTGACTGACTGACGGAGCTTGCTCACGATGATGCATTCATAGTGAGTCGATTACCTGTGATTGGAACTACTTCAGTCCTGGCAGAGATCACCTGCTACTGGGTGAATTTCACAAGTGCTATGGCATGGGTTTTGTCAGGAGAGAAAGCTCAGGGGGCTGTGTTACAACCTAGTTTATGTTCTGTTTGACTTATCAGTAGGTTATAACCAGGGGAGTTTCCTCATGTAGGCAGTGTATGGAGTGTTAGGAAGACCTGAGTTTGATCCTGCCTCAGACTAGCAGTGTAACCCTGGACAAGTCACTTAACCTCTGTCTGTTTCAGTTTCCTCATCTATAAAAATGGAAAAAAATGGCTCTTACCTCATAGAAGTATGGTGAAGATCAAATGAGATAACATATGTATGGTGCTTCGCATACCTTAAGGAGCTATATAAATGCATTATTACTGTTATTAGTTGTTGTTGCTGTTGTTTCCCATGAGCATGATATGGATTTCTCTTCCTTAGACCCAAATTGGCTAATTGGCTGTTGTGGAGGAAAAGTATTCTAGAGTCCCAGAGTGAGTCCACCTATGTGCACTGGATGTCCCAATGGCCTGGCATCCCCCCTCCCCCCCCTTAGAGCCATAGCTTTGCCAGCCACTAGGATCTGTCCTGGGCATTTGTGTTCCTGTTGCTACTCCCTCAGCACATTCATACTAAGTGACTCAAAACCACAGGGAACTACCTACTCAGCTCTGGCTCCCAGGGACTCCTTCCTGCATTGCATCTGCACCTCTGTGTTTTCTCTCTCCTCTCCATTCTGACTCCTCAGCCTTTACCACCACCACTCAGGAGGACCATCTTCCATCCATCCCCCTTTGCCTTCCTTTCCCTCCCTTAAATCATTCCTTCCCCCTCCCCCTCTCTGAAATTGTAACCTTAGATTGTTTTGGGGCCAGTGAGAGAGAAAGTATTAAATGAAAATATGCCTCCTGGTTACCAGTAAACCCTGGCCATGGCAAACAGTAGCTGTAATAACAGTTTTCTACTGACTTTCCGTAAATAGAATGTCATCAAGCAATGTTCATGGTTTTCAGCTGCTTTCACCAAGTCTTCAGAGGTTCAGAACTTCATGAAATATACCAGGCAAACCATGAGGAGATGGAGAGGGAAAAAATGTCATTTCCTCCTCAAAATGTATAGTGGAGTCAGAAGAGAGAGTGAAGGGATCAAATATACAAGGGGAATAGGGAAATGCATAAGCAAATGTGGCGTATATCAGGTTGATTCCAACAGCTGGTGTTTGTGCATGACTATCCAGCTGGTTGCCCAGCCAAATGATTAAAGCTTTGTTTCTAGACTATAATGTGGGATCGAATCAAAGGCCTTACTAAAGATGATATTACATGGGCCGCTCTCCCCTTAGCTGTACAACTCATTATTATGCAGTGGAATTAAATTAAAGGGGTCCAATAGAATTTGCTTTTTACAAAGCCCACGTTTCCCTTTTTTGTTAGTCTTGCTTTAAAGTTCTTACCTGAATTCTTCCCTGAGAAGAAAGTTTTTAAGGTTGGTGGCTTTCTCATAGGAAAATAAGCATGAGTGACCGCATGGAGGCCATGTGACCCACTTACTGCACTGCTGGACCTGGAGTTAGAAAGATCGGTGTTCAGATGCTCCCCACGACACCAGCCATGTGAAATGTGCCCAAATTGCTTTACCTATCTGAGGCTCAGTCTCCCTATCTGTAAAATGGGAATAATCATAACCACAGTACCCGTTTCACAGGGTTATCATGATGCCCACATGAGATAGTGTATATTAAGAACTTTACGGTCAGTCAGTCCATAGGTATTTACTAAGTGCTTGCTATGTGCCGTGCATCGTGCTAAGCTGGGGGGATACAAAAAAGCTTCCATTCGAATGGGAAAGCAACACAAAAATTGTACACAGAAGAGACATGCAGCATAAAAGTGCTACACAAACATGGATTTTGCAGATGAACAGAAAACATGATGTAGTGGAAGAATGCTGAAATGGGAGATAAGTGAATTAATCTGTCTAAGCTACAGGTTCCTTATCTGTAAAATGAGCTTGATTGGATTTGGTGCTGTCTAAGGTTACTTCTAGGTCTATGATCTTGTGATCCAGAGGTGACCTGACATCTTGAAAACTACATCAATGGAGCATAATCCTTGCTGGGTTGATCAAGCTGAAAAGGCTTCAAAATATGGGCAATGCCATAGACTCTGTATATCAGAGGTGCAAAACATGTTCACGGAGGCTACAATAGTCCTGACTGCTGCTGTCAAGCCAGATTAAAATATAATTGAGAAATATTTAACTAAATTTTAAAAACACAATAGAACATAGATAATGTTAATATGTGGTTTTCTAAGTCAATATGCTACTCACAGGGATCCTTATATATAGTTTAGTGACCACATTAACAGTTGAGTTTGATGCCACTGCTATATATCATGCAGATAATAACAGGGTTTTCCAAGGGTCTAAAACTAGAAGATATCATCTATTACAACTCCTTCATTTTACAGATAAAAAAAAAAACAACCAAACAACACTGAAGGCCACAGAGGGGAAGTTACTTAGACACAGCATCATGCAGCATTTGAACTCAGGCTTTCTAATTTCTGATCCAGCACACTCTCTTCTACATGCTTGCTGTAAATTACACTAAAACAAAATGGAAAAAAGTTGCAGCTAGGTAGAAGGAGAGGCTTCAGGAGAGGTTCCCCTCAAAAAGGCAAAGAGAGACCTTAGTGGAATTAGTTTCACGGTGATCCCAGTGGGAAGGAAAAACGTTGACTCGTGTTTGCCTTGCTGAGCTTGCCATGTATTGCCACCGGCAAGGCAGTCACAGCCTGTGTTAAGAGATCTGCTACAGAAAGTTGGGTAACAATTTTTATAGCAAGTATCTCTAATAAAGGCCTCATTTCTCCAATATATAGAGAACTGATTCAAGTTTATAGGAAAATACGTCATTCCCCAATTGATAAATAGTCAAAGAAAATGAACAGGCAGTTTTCAGACGAAGTAATCAAACCTATCTATATTCATATAAAATGCTCTAAACCATAATTCTTTTTTACTTTTCTAAATTTATCTTTATTTTGTATTAGCATTATACATTTATACATTATAAACTAAGTTTCGGCTTCATCAGTAATTTTTGGAAACCCTCTATTTCATTAAATGTTCACACCCCTCTCCCCACAAGATTAATCAGTTTTGTCAGATTATTCTCATTTGTAAATTTTTATTTTTGTGCTTCTGGAATGACTTATTACTGCCTCTGTTCTTTTTTTGATAATATTTTATTTTCCCCCAATTACGTGTTAAAACAATTTTTGCCATTTTTTAAACTTTTGAGTTCCAAATTCTACCTCTCATTCTCCTCCCTGAGATAGTAACCAATCTGATAACAGGTTACACATGTTCAATCATGTAAAACATCTTTATGTTAGTCATTTTGCACAAAAAGACTTGAACAAAAAAAAAGTGAAAAATTGTATGCTTCAGTCTGTATTCAAATTCCATCAGTTCTTTCTCTGGAGGCAGATAGCATTTTTCATCATGAGTCCTTTGAGATTCTCTTGGATCATTGTGTTGCTGAGAATAGCTGAGTCATTCACAGTTCTTCATCATATAATATTACTGTAACTATGTACAGTGTTCCCCTGGTTCTGTTCACTTCACATCATTTCATGTAAGTCTTCCTAGGTTTTTCTGAAATCATCCTGCTGGTCATTTCTTATAGCACAGTAATATTCTGTCACAATCATATACCACAGCTTGTTTTGCCATTCCCCAATTGATGGCATCCCTTTAATTTCCAGTTCTTAGCCACAATAAAAATAGCAGCTATAAATTCTAATTCACTATTGATTAGAGAAAGGCACATTAAAACAACTCTGAGGTTCCACCTCATATCTATCAGGTCATGTAATATGATAGAGGAGGAAAAGAATACATTTTGGAGGGGATGTGGGAAAATTGGGACACTAATGCACTATTGGTGAAGTTGTGAACTGATCCAGGCATTCTGGAGAGCGATTTGGAAAGATGTCCAAAGCGCTATGAAACTGTGCATACCTTCTGATCCAGCAATATCACTACTAGGTCTGTATCCCAAAGGGATTTTTTTTTAAAAAAAGGAGAAAAGACCTATTTATATGAAAATATTTTTAACTCCTCTTTTTGTACTAGCAAAGAATTGGAAATTGAGGGGATGCCCATTAGTTGGGGAATGGCTGAACAAGTTGTGATTGTGATGGAATACTATTGTGCTATAAAAAATGATGAGCGTTTTGATTTTAGAAAAACCTGGAAAAACTTACGTGAACTGATGAGAAGTGAAGTGAACAGAACCAGGAGAACATTGTACACAGTAACGGCAATAGTGTATGATGACCAACTGTGAATGTCTTAGCTGTTCTCAGGGATACGATGATCCAAGAGAGTTCCAACGAGCTTATGATGAAAAGTGCTGTCCACTCCAGAGAAAGAAGTGATGGAGTCTGAATACAGATCGACACATACTATTTTTCACT